TAGTTATATTTTTGTTGCGCAGTGGTCGCGGCTGCATCGCAATATGCATCGGTTAGTGTTTGTTGTTGTCGTATGATTGGCAAAAGCAAATCAAGCCAAGTTAACGATTTAATTGAACTGTTTGATATTAGTTTTCAAGGCACTTGTATTTTGACATAAGGTTTATGTGCCTTGCTGCTCTGATATGATACCTGACAGGTAATACACGCAATGCATTTTCTGCTTGCCGGTCGAAGTTACGGTTAACCAGATATCGGTTCAGACCCTTTGTCTGTTCGACAGATGATCCGTATTGCGATGTGTCATTGAATTTTCTGGCCAACTTATACCTTATCCGTAATTTAGCCTTTCATTTTGCGAAATGTCTCTGCTCTTTCCGTGCCTCCATTTATGTATAGTTTTTCATACGTTAACCAGAGTAACTTGTCTTCGTAATCGATGTGCCTGCAATCGATAAATACCAGTTAAGTTGGTTTTTTGATGAAGGAGCCTACGTATTTTCGCGAAGAAACATGGTATGTGAAATGATTATTACTCTTGCATTGTGATGGGTTGCTGTCAGCAACCTGATAACATGGTAAGCAGCGGGATCATGAGTAGTTGATTATAGTCTTGAGTTAAAGTTCTCAATATACAGGTTAAGATACAGTGTTAATCACTTTAAATTGAAGTTCTTTTGTGTATGTGAGACGACTTGCTTCTGTCCGTATGTGGTGCGCCCCGACGATGTTAGCGTGTGCGTCGCGGAACGCTTGCGCAATTCGTGTTAAACTAAAAAGAATGATGCTGCTATCTACGTCGACAATAAACTGTTGTACTGTCTGTTTATTTGGTGCTCTGAACCATGAATCATTCAAACGCCTATCTGTACAAATCATGTTAATATCTTCTTTGTGTGTACCATCAGCCATGAATCGGCGAACCATCTACATTTTCTGCAACGTGTTCATATTCAGAAATTTTGCAATATTTATCGTTGTCTTATTGTCCAACGAAGTACATTAACTTGATATCCAGCGTCGTTGGCGATTGGTTCGGTTTATAGCCAACTGTTTATTTATAAGTTCAATTTTGTGGTTAGCAGTTTGTTTTTCATGCTAATAAACTTTAGCGGATGTGGTAGCACCTCTGAACCTGACGGCCTGAGATATACTACAGGCTAAAGTTGAAACTGTGCAAATTGCATGTACTCAATTATTTGCCTCTGCTAAGCTTAAATTATCAAATGTATATGAATTCAAATATTTGTAGAATTAATGTATTCGTTTCTGGTCATTAAGACAGTTCGTTGCAACTGCAGGTTTATACGCTATGTCAAGTCGAATACGTAAAGTTTCTCTGCTTTGAAACCGAGCTTAAATTTTCTCTAAAAGGATTTCATTTTTCCATTTATTGTGTTGTATATTTTATCTCAAAATGACAGTTAGGAGCGCCGCTATCCTTTCAAACAGACGAATTAATCACATACAAGTTTAGGCTGATTTTTGAGATTTGACCATACGAGTGGCTCAAGTAATGCTATTTTTTGTCCTTAACCATAATCGCTCAAAACGTTACTGATTTTTTTCCCGCTCTCGACCGTCATTTTTTCGTGAGGTTTAGACGACGTGACCAGTAGGTTTCATTGGGCAGATCAGCCTTTACAGGTATAAACAGATCAATCATGGTAGGATAGCAGACCGTTTCACATTTCCTGATGATGTTCCATCTTTCCTTTGGCATCCTGGATAGCCTACCGCTGTACTGTCGCCTATCATATGATACGCGGCATTAGGCATTGCTGAATCTCCGCGAGGTAATGCTAAATTTGATTTATGCAGAGAAACCTGAGGTACTGTAAAATTGAATATTTTAGGTAGCACAGTGTCACTACTTTGCTGCATAAGGTGACAGCATTGCGATGTAATTGGCTTTTTGTTGTTGGTTGCAGTTCCTTTACAACCTTGAAGCATAAAAAACATCTGATATGACTCTCGGGAAGGCGCGAGGGAAAAATTAAATCTTTGTTATCTTATTCAAGTAGTATTCTTATCTTAAAGATCTGCTTTTGATGTGCCAAATGAGTGACAGATTTTAGTAACTCTTTTTGGCTTGTATAGGCTATCAGGTATAGCTCGAATGGCCAAATCATTGGGCATGCCCAAACATTCGAAAGCTGGCGTAGTTCTCAACAGTGATTCCACTGCGATGGGGTTATGAGGCCACTTTTCCAGTACTGTCAAGACCAACCGATCTGGAGGAAAAGTAATACCTTC